ACAGTGAACTCTCAAAATGCAAGTTCAAAAGTCTACAGGCTGCATACCCACAAGGACGAAGACCTCCTTTGTGATGTGGGGGGTGGGCGCTAAAGCCGTGCAAGAGCAAGTTACTCAGAAACTACACAAGAGAGCTTCCTTAAAAACCAGCCTTGCCCTTGTCAGAACATTACCTGAAGGGGATAAACTGCAGCCAGGGATGCAGCGAAAGGGCTCCTAGGACAGGGCAGACACTCTGTCCAAGAATAAACCCTCCAAGACTCAGGGGAGCACAGGCTGAAATCTACACCTATTTCCTTCCTAAGGAGCAGGCGCAACCCTGGAGTGGAAATATCTGGGCTCTGGTCTGACCATGGCCAGAGCAGCCTCAGCCAGGCACCAATCTCCTCAGCGATACTGCGGGCCTGAGGTGTCCCCTGGTTACTCACTGGGCTGTGGGGAGAAGAGCTACAGAAGGGCTAAGGCCAAGCACTGGGAACCCTCTAGAGCACGACTCGTGATGTAAGGGCAATTAATATTGGGGAAAGGGGAAAAGGAAAAAAAAGGCAAGAAGGAAAAAATGGAAACAAAGCTTTGTAAATGAGGGGAAGAGGGGTTGAAGGGAAGGTAGGAAAACTGGGGGGGATCAAGTCAAACCGTGTACAGGTGCAAATCTCCCATAATGAATGTGATCATTCCGTATACCTAAAATATGCAGATAAACAATGAACAGTATCCCCAGTAATGTGCTGTCCAGTACTTCAGAGTTTGTAGTCCACTTTAATCAAATTACTACACTACACAGTTACAATTCCAGGAGAGGTGATAGAGGGGAGAAGTGACGAAGGAGAGGGAGATGCACAAATATGAATGGGAATGAAGAGAAAGAGGAAGACCAGGGAAAGAATGTGGAGAAGGAAACTGATGGCCCTAGAGTGAAGGTGTAAAATAAAAAAGAGCAGCCACAGTGGTGCACACTTGTGATCCCAGTACACAGGAGGCTGAGGCAGGAAGATTGCTGAGACCAGCCTGGGCTACAAAGTGAGCTCAAGGCAGCCTGAACTGCATAGCAAGACAGTCTCCAAAAGACAAAAATTAAAATGAACGGTGGCAATCCCTTATCAGGACAATAGCTTGTGCATCCGCCCTTGACAAGTTTCTTTGGGTAAGCACATGTGAGGCAGTTCTTTTGAAGTAAGGCCTGTACCGCACAAAAGGCACTTAATTATAATCAACAAGCAGTGGCTCAGGGAGACACGTCGGAGCCGAAACTGAGCTTCAGCTTTCCTGGAAATACCCCGAGACAGAAGGGAAGAATATTTAGCTTGACTGCCTATATGGTTCAATTTTCTTTTTTAAAAAAATTATTTGAGGGGCTGGTGAGATGGCTCAGTGGTCTAAAGCACCTACTTAGAACAAGCTAAGCTAAGCAAAAGCACAGCGACTGTGGTTCAATCCCCAGCACCACATGCCAGCCAGCCCCGCCCCCTGGTGGGCTGAGCTGGCCACACACACACACACACACAGACACAATAAATAAATAAATTTAAAAAAAATTTATTTGATACAGGGTCTTGCTACACAGTTTAGACTCACAGTGATCCTCCTATCTCAGCCTCTCCAGTGCTGGGATTACAGGCGTGCACCACCATGCCCAGTTTTGGTGGCCAGCATGGCATGAGGTACCAGGGATTGATCTCGGATCCTTGCACTTGCCAGGCAGGCACTTGGACCACTGAGTTATCTCCCCAGCCCTGTGGCTCAATTTCCACAGCTATGGGCCTGCACCCTCTGGGGTGTTCCCTATTACCTTGCTTTCCCCCTATCACTCAGCACAACCTTGCGCTGCAGAGCCAGTATCTACCTTCTTTTCAAATAAACTTTGCCACTACTTTCTTCTCTATTCATTCATTTCTTTGTTCAAGATGACAGTAAAATAAAAAAATAAATTTCCACAAGCTGGATGTGCGCATCAGGCCACTCCTATGTATGTAAAATCACAGCCAACAAGGGCTTACCCTGGCACCCAGTTTCTGATTAGCTGTCAGGGAAGCCTGTTGGCTGCTGGGTAAGAGGAAGAGCTTGGTGGCCATGGGCCACCGCATCCTGCAATCCTGGACTGACACAGGAAGGAGTTGTAGCATGGCCGTCCTGGGGCACTGTGGTGGGCTTTTCAGAGTTCCACACTCTAGGACCTGTGCAGAAATCTTACTGGCAGAACCAAGGGAAATGGGAAGGTGTAGCAGTCATGAGCTGACAGCAGTGACCACAAAAAACTATGTCCAGCCCTTACATGAACTCAAAGGCCTCGCCGTCACTGTACACATGGGCACAGATTACTCAAAAAGCACTCTGAACGCCAGCTGTGGAACACACCTGACCGCCTTCTCAGGGTTAGGGAACAGAAAGCCTGCACACTCCAATTAGGTTAAACCAATCAAGATTTTTTTTTTTATCTTAATACTCTGTGCCCACTGCCTGAGGGCATAGGTCAGATCTTGTCCTGACTCTTTTTCTAAGGCATTCATTCATTCATTCATTCATCCATTTGACAAGTATTTACTGCATGCCTACTTCCTATCAGACTCTTGTTCAATGGTTTCCCCTTACTCTGGCTAAAATCCAAACCACATCTCCCCAACTCATTTCAACAAGTAAGTACCAAGGACTTTTTATTGTTCTTCAACACACCAAGCTCAGCTCCAGCAGAGGGCCTTTGCCCCGCCTACCCTTTCCTACTCTGGCCATGATACGCGCTGCAGGGCTGGCTCTTTTGCCATCATTTATCTCAATTCAAATGCCACCTTCTCAGAAAAGCCTTCCCTGACTCTCCAGCACATCAACATCCTCGCAGCTCCACTGCTGAGATCATCGCACTTATTTACTTCCTTAACGGCCTTCTGATTCGAATGCAAACTTCAAGACGGGGACAAGCCATCTGTTAGGTACTTAAAACAGGAGATATCTGTTGGATAAACAAATGTTTGGGAAGCTCATTTGGGGGCATCTCAAAGTTGGTCCTGGGTTATCTAAACCATGCCAAGTGCTCTCCGGTGCCACTGGATAGCAGCTGCTAACGTTTTATCTGGCTGCTGCAGCAGTTATGAAGTACTCTTCAACTGGTAGGGCCTCACAAGTCAGAATGAAGTAGCTGTTAAACCGGACTGTAGGTGGCCAATCTCAAGGGGCTGCAAACCGCGGAGCTGCTTTAGCACTGCAATCCTGGCTGCCAAGGGCGACACGCACTCCCCAGTTCATAGCAACTGGCAGGGACGTTACTCTGGTGAGACGCTTCCCCAGCTGTCTGGCCTGACTCAGCCTGTCTTCTGGGAGTGCCTGTGGCAATGTCTTGGTAAACGAACTGACTCAGCATTCTGCCAGCCAAAACCAAAACCTAGTTAAAGGATGCAAGGGCTTCTGGATGCTCCAGAGACCCTACTGCTCTAAATGTAAGCGGGAGGTTGTGGAGGGCTACCTCAGTCAGAGGCCCTGCATCCAACTCCTTTTATTTCCACCCTATCAGACAAGAATGGCTCCTTGGGTACGGAAGGGAAACACCCTGGGAAGGAGGATTCCCCTAAGCACGGCCCCTTAGGCGACCAACTCTCCTCCAGCAGTGCCGCTGATGCAGCCTAAAGCACTCCAAGGCCTTCAGTACCCAGGCTGGTCCTGCTAGCTACACTGGGGAAACACTGTGGCCCTGTCTGCTTTCCCATTCTCATCTCACTGGGGAGAACTTCCTTGGCCAACATGACTGCCAAGGACCGGTGGGTGCAGCCTCATCAAAATGGGCACATCTAATCTTCCCCCAATCCTGCACTTGCAGAGTCTGCCTCGCCCCTCATCAGACCCTGAGGGACCCGCCCCACCAATGCCCACTTCACTCAAGGCATCCCGTGGTACCTCTGTGAAAGCCCTGAAACAGACGCTTCGATTTTCATCCTCCACCCACCGGCTTCCTTTGACCTGCCGGGGACTGAAAGAGCCCCTCCTCTCCCCACTGCCTGTCCTTCCCCAGTCACCGGGCCTTTCTCATTTCATCAGTTCCTCTCCACACTCCAGCCCAGCCAACGGGGAAGTCAAAGTCGAGCCCATGTAATTGTTTCAGGTCTCCCAAAGGAGTGGAAGGGAGGATGACCTCACGAGATACTTCTGGGGTCTACTTCCCTAGTCAATACTGTAAGATTTCATTGCTAGGGCCTTCTCCTGGTTGGGGTCCTCCCCCAACACCCCACCAGACCTCCCAATTCACTTGTTCTCTCCCGCCCAATATTCCACTCCACTCTCACCTTGTCTCCTGAAACCTAATTTTGAGGAATCCACCTGTCTGCTCAAACAGGGAACTGAGGTCATTTCACCCTCGATCGTCTCCTGCGTCTGGCTGCGCGACCCCTGCTGCTGCTCATCCTGTGCAGACGCCCTTAACTCCCCTGGAAGCAGTCACCCTGCGACTTTCCCCGTAACCAACACAGACTCGCTCAGCTAACTATCCCCAAAACTAAGCCTGGAGCCGGTCCGGCAGCTCAAGGGGAATCCTCACAGCCACTCCTCGGGAGCTCGTCTCCTCGTCCCATCCCGCCGGAGGGGTTTCCCCGAGGTCCCCTGCTGCAGACATCCCAACGCGCCCCCCTCGCCCAGCAAGAGACTTCCGTCTGCTCTACGGCACCTGGATCCAGGGGACCCCTCGATCCCACGACACCTCCCCGGAGCTGCAGGCTCGCCGCTCGCCCCTCGCCCACGCCGGCCCCCAGCAGAGCCGCGCGCTGGACCTTTCCCCTCTTCCCGGCCTCACGCAGCCTGGGGAGCCTCTGGGCCTGGCCGCGCCGCCCACAGTCCCCAGGCCCCCCGCCCGTGCTTCCGGCCGCCGCCTGCTCCTCCTCTCCCGTCGGATCGCCGCCGCGGAGCCCCGCGGACAGGGAAGCCGCAGAGACGCGCGCCGCGCCGCAGGGGCCTTCGCGCGTCCTCACGTTCCGGCCCAAGCCCGCACCCCCTCGGCGGCCGGGCCCGGCGCCCCCGCTCACCCGAGCCCGTGGTGGCTGCCATCTTGCGTCGCTGGAGCTCCAAGGCCGGCCCCTCCTTCACCCCCC